ATAAGGTTACAGAAGGAATTAGAGAGGTGCCTGTGATTCAGTTTAAGGCCAACGTAATTGCTACCACCTCATCACTGAAGGGCTTTACGGAGGAAATAGGCACCATCAGGTTGCAAGGCTGATTTTCCTGTCCAATCCTAAAAAGGAACTGGCCTCAATAAATCATCTTCCTAATGGAAATGACAGAATTATTCTCCCAGGAGGGGTAAACCCAGAGGACTGCACAAACCACACGTCCCTCTCAAGTGCAATAGGAAGGAAGCACAGAGCCATAGCTGCCTGGGAGGATCCAAGCCTTCCTAGGGGTTTGTTCCACCACTGTTCCTCTGAGGTCACTCTTAATGCCTTTTGCAAGTCATTGTTTACAGATACAGATAGAAGCCCTCTCAGTAAGTATGTTGTATGTTTTTTTAAAAAGCTATCTCTACGGTTAATCACAAGAGGAAAAAATCATCATATATCTTAAGTAAAAAGGAAAGTTGTAAAATCAGTGTAAGATACCTTTTCATTAAGAATATACACGAGGTGGGGGGAGGGAACCAACTGGTAACAATGGTAGCGTTTGGAGAAGATTGTGGATACTTATCTTCCCTACCATGCGCTTTTCTTAATTTTTAAATTTTCTATGCTATACAATTGGAGTATAAGATAATTGTTATTTAAATTCATTTATCCTATAATATGCAACCTAAAATAAGAATTGGGATGCATACTAATACCACTAGCTACATTTTAAAGAAGAGCAGAAATATATACATAACATTAAGGGATTCTTAATCAGAACTAATAATTCACAAACATTCACATTCTTCATCAATTGCATTACTTTTATGAAGAATTTATAATGAACTTGTATATGGTACTTGGCAAAGAAACTTCAGTTCATTCTTTTTGAAATGAATTTGTTAGAACTCAAGGTTTCTTTTCCAATCGAAACGTTAGGAAATGCCACTCCCAAGCTGACTGAGCAGCCAGGCTTTTGATTTCTGAGAAATTCTTGCCCAGGTCACCAGGAATGAAAGGTCAGCTGTGAGGAAGTTTCTGGAACAAGAAGAATCTCAGTGAAATTGGCTGGAATTTTTTGAGTGGTGAAAAAATATCCCTTGAATAAAGCAAGGTATATGGGAGTTAAGGTCACAGTTTTATCAAATTCAACCTAGGCATTTAGTCAGATCCTTTGAAACCTTTTCCCATGATTAAAATTCTTATTTGCTGCATTTTTTGGCATGATGGCTAAGTGATTTGGGGCACTGGCCCAAAAATCATAGAGTTCTTTTTGTTGTTGTTACAATAAATGAGTAAATTAGAGGAAATCATTTTTTTCAGTATTTGCTGTGAGGAGCCCACTTTGGGGGGGAAAAAATCACAATTTGTGAGAAGGTACATTCTCTGTGCATTCTTAACTCTTTTTCCCAAAAGTTGCTATGACAAATTTTATGGAGCACTTAAATAAAACAGTTTTCCAAGTGTGGTCCCAGGAACCCTGGGGATCCCCAAGATCCTCTCGATGAATCTCAAATTTCCTCCAATTTCATCTAAAGATCTGTGTGAAGTAAAACTTCTTTACATATTTCAACCCAAAAAGCATTGTAATAAATTAAATTAAAAAATAGAATTTATCTTCTATTAAGACAGACATTAAAAAGATTCATAAAAGATGTAAAATAATACCACTTTCTCACTTTTTATTTCTGAAAAACATAGTTCTTTTTCACAGAAATGTCATTTATGTAAAAAAGTCATTGCTTTTGATTAATTACTTTTGTTTATTACTGTTATTTGTAATATAGTACTAAATATTTTTTTAATTTCTCAATTTTACCTTTGAATACAGTAAATATCAATAGCTATAACCAACCCACACCAAAGCTCTTTGGATCTTCCATAACTTTTAAGAATGTAAAGGAGTCCTGAGATCAAAAAGTTTGAGAACTGCTGAAATATAGAAACTCCTTCTAGAACAAGCTCAGAAGGTCTGCTGAAGGATGAGAGGCCATGTGGAGTAGAGCCCTGTTATCCCAGCTGAGGCCATCCTCGATCAGCCAACCCCAGCTGGCACAACATTTGACAGAAGATGCATGATCAAGCCAGCCAAGAACAGACATGTCTGGCCTAGAAGAAAAGAACCACTCAGCCAAATTGTAAACTTCTAAGAAATAATAAAAAAATTTTTATTTTAAGCCACTAAGCATTGGGGTGGTTTGCCGTCCAGGATTATTTTGGCATTACATAACTGATTGCCCCCCCCCCCCACCGACTTCCTCAGAGAATTTACCATATATTTACAATGAGTTTCACACATTTACGCTGCATTACATGTTGTCTTATATTGTGAACTGAGTTTCTAAACTACTTGAGGGAATATAGGATGTCTTAGCTTTTCTTTTTTGGCTCAATAAATATTTAATTAATTCATACACCAGTTAGGAACCTGAAATTTCTAGACAAAGAAGGATTCTTTAAAATTGCTTATTTCATCCCTGCACTCTTTTTTTCCCGCTAATGTTTAAATAAAGAGAACTTCCCTTTTGAGGAATCAGTTTATCTTTCCTGTGTTTTTTCCTCCAAGGCTCAACCTCGATGAGCCCCAAAACTTAATGATCCCCAAACTCAATGAACGTGGAGAACTTACAATCATGCAAGTGTAGCTTGATCTGCCAGAAGAAAGTATTTTCAATTTAATAGCTTTCACATTCCTATCACTGAAATTCTAGAACTCTGTAATCTGCTTTCTCCATCACTTTTGTTATTACTATTACTTTGGAAACTGTTCAAAAGAAAAATGAGTCACTTTGCCTGAAAAGAGGTTGGATCCCGCTCTGTGGTAGATACACGATGCTGCCTCCCTAGGACATTCCCTAAATAACCAGTTGTCTTTTCCATTTGTTCCCTGAAACCTTGTGCTATGAGCAACCCAAGACAAACACGTGAAGCTTGTCTTCCAGACCCTCACATTTCCCTTTCTATCTCCCCTTCTCATTTCTGGTCACCTCTCTCCTCAACCCCCTAGGAATTCAAGGCCTTAATGTTTTTTCTGAATAACAAAAGCCCCATAATGCTAGAATGTTCTCCTTTCAAAATGCTCCATGCTCCAAAAATGACTCGGTTTTTTCCCCAAGTGAATGCTTACAAAAGTCATCATCCTTACCCAAAGTGCCCTTTATGTCACCTTCACGTCTGGAAGAAGAATTCCACTAAAATAATTAATGTGAAAGAGTGTTGGCTTAATCAATTAACTTGAACAAGAATTTGCATAAAGGGGACACTTGCTAATAAAATGACACAATGTTTAACGATACTTTTTGTGGCAGAGTCTGCTATCTGATCACCAAAATACGTTCTACTCTCCTTCCTGGGCACACTGACTATTTCTCATCCGGAGTTGCTTGGAAACTGCATGTTGAAGAACTTTTATTCTCCAGGTTCCCTGAGTGACTGTGTGGAGGAGGGATCCTTGCTAATCTGTTAGCTGTTATGTGCACAACACAAAACCTTTAGTTTTGTTTGAATTACAAAAATATTGGGCTTTATTTATTACATCAGTTATAGTTATCCTAAGAAATATACCATTCTTCATTCATAATGTGATTTATCATTTTCATGGCATTTTTTATCCATTCGTTCACAAACAGAGGTCACCAAACTTTTTCTGTACAAGACCAGACAGTAAAAATTTTAGGCATTGTGAGCCTACCACTTCTGTTGTGACCATCCATCACTGTCATTGTAGCATGAAACAAGCCACAAACAATACACAAACCAAAGGGACATGGCTGTATTCCAAAAAATCTTTATTGATAAAAAGAAGAAATAAGCTGGATTTGGCCACGAGTACACTTTGCAAACTCTTTTGATGATAAGTAAGCAAAAATCAAGCAGCTGTCCCTTCACTATAGAAACATTGCTTCCCAGTATCGGCCGGGGTTATCACTGTGGCTGCATTCAACAGGGTACTTGATTGGGGCTGGGCCTTCTGAGATAGCTTTGCACCCATATCCAGTGTCTCATCCATTGTGAGTGAAACATGTGAGGGCTGACTGAGCTCCAGCTTCATTACGTGATCCTGGACCCAAGGGGGCCACAATGGAAGCTGCAATCCATAGGAACTTAAAACACGTGAACTGTAAAGTGGTGTGTTGAGTGCGTTAATAGAAGCTTGTGCCAGGTAGAGTGTGGGGAACAAAGAGAGTGAAGAGTGGGAAGGAAAGCCCTGCAGAGACCTCATACTGGGAATGACATTTAGTTCTGTCACGAGTCCACTGAAGAGTGAAGTGCAATGTAATTGAATTTTTATTTCAGAAAAATCATTGGTACAGATTCAGAGAGATTGAAAATTGATAAAAGGGAAATGCAACTAATCAATTTGAAAGCTTTTGACAAGAGATATCGGCTAAGACAGTGGATGTGGAAAAGAAGACCAGAGAAGGAAATCATGATATATTTAAGACACAGAGACCAGTTAGATTCAAGAGGTAAGGGAAAGGACAGTAGAGTAGGGTCAAGCCCATGTACCCTGGCAAAAGGATTGTGCCACCGAACAAAAGGGAGAAGGAGCCAAGGATTGGCAAGGGTCAGGATTGGTAACAGGTAATCACTGAGCTTCAATTACCTTTTTTTGTAGAAAGCTGCAAAAGACAGTAGAATAATCTAATAACAGGGACTAGAGCAAAGACATACATTAATAATCTTCAGCATATAACATAGAAATAAATGAGTTAAACCAAGGAAAGTGTCATGAGAGGAGAGCCTTAAAGAAAGAACACTGACCAACAATCCCTACATAAAAAAGATGATTGATCTCCAGTCCGGTGGCGTAGTGGTAAAGTTCACATGCTCCATTTTGGCGGCCCAGGTTCGCAGGTTCGGATCCCAGGCACCGACCTAGCATTGCTTGTCAAGGCATCCCACATAAAATAGATGAATATTGGCACAGATGTTAGCTCAGCGGCAATCTTCCTCAAGCAAAAAAGAGGAAGATTGGCAACAGATGTTAGTTCAGGTCCAATCTTCCACACACACACATACACAAAAAATGGTGATTGAGGAGCATTAAAACATGACTGGAAACAAACAGAAAGATGAGTGGGAAAACCAAAAAAGCCACAGGAAGAAAAAGTTTCCAGATGAAGCAAGTATTCTCATTAGATTTGGAAGATCAAAAGATCATTGGCGACCTGGTCCAGCTAAAATTCAGCAGAGAGGGAAATGCACTTAGGGTAGGTAATAGTAAGTGAGGAAAGTGTATGTAGATAATCACCTTGAAGGATTTGGTCATGAAGCAAAGCAAAGGAAAAAGAGTTAGAAAAAGTTCGACGTGAAGGAAGAGTTATAATAGTAGTGGAGAGACTTGAGATTTGAGGAGGAACTATTGTCGAGGTTTTGGTAGAAAATAGAGAAGGAAGTCCTATTTTATGAAGCAAAATCTCTAAGGAAATAAGATGGGAGAGGATAAAGAGAAGGAGTGGAAAACTTAAGTAGAGGAACACCTCATCCCCCAATGAAGAATGTATTGGTGTGGAGGCTCAGAGTTTATGCTCTATCTCATCCCTGAAGAAGGACTTGAGGTCATCTGCCTGGAAGCATGTGAACTGTGAACTCCCGTGTCACACAAAGGACTTGCCCAAACATTGTGCTAAGAGACATGACTGAACTTTAGCCTGACTTCCATCCGCACCAGGCGGTTTTCCTAAAGGTAACCCCAGCCTTCGTGGTGAGTCTTTGCTCAGGAAAACACAATGCTGTCACACCAGAAAAAATTCATTGTCCCAACCCACTTTGCCAAACTATTTTCAATAATTCCCTCTCCTGGAATTTTTCTCCTTCCACATGGCCCCAAGTTCCTTTTTCCCCCTTTTGCACTTTCCCATAGTCCCTTTTTGTTCCCTATCAATTCTCCCTTTAAAAGTCTCCATCAACTTTCTCTTAGTTTGGGCTTAGTTGGCATTGAGCTCAGTCTATACTGGAGTCTTTTCCTCCTACTTCAGTAGTTTGAACACAATCAGTCTTGTCGCCTTTAGCAAGTGACTGTTTTTCTTTACCAAGGGTATATGGGAGTCATTGGAGAAGAAACTGGGGAAGGGCTCCATTATCCCCAACAATTATATCTCTAGACCACACTGTATTTCCCCTCCTAGGAGTGAGGAGTCTGAAAGCAAAATCACTTTGAACTTGGTGATTGAATTAGTTATCTATTGCTGCGTAACAAACGTCCCAAAACTTGGTGACTTAAACAGCAACAAACTTTTTTAGTTTCATAATTCTGTGGATCCTCTAGGCTTAGCTGGTTGGTTTATTCACTCTACTCATGATATTGACTGAAGTCACTTCTGCAGTGCATTCAACAGGGTGCTTGATTGGGACTGAACTTCTAAGATGGTTTTACTCTCAATATCTGGTGATTTATCTCTCGAGTGACTAGAAATTCTGGGAGCTGAGGGGCCTCAAGTTTCTTTATATGGTGCTGAATCCCAACAGGCCAACAGTGTCCCTTAAAACCTAAAAATCTGAGATCACACAGCTTTACCTTCTCTGTATTCGGCTGGTCAAAGCAAGTCACAGGGTCAGTCCAGATTCTATAGGAAGGGAGAATAGGCTCCCCACTCGAGGACTTAGTGGCATATGATCACAGATATGGGAGGAACTGGCAGCCATATTTGCAGACATCCTACCACAACAATTCACGTCTTTCCTACATACAACACTTTCTCACCTCCCTCCCAACACTTCTAAGACCTCTCTATGTATTAATCACCAAGAATTACGGAGTCCTCATGGGAAAATCCTACACTCAGATGGAGGAGAGCAAAAAGGATTGATCCAAGTTGGGAGTTTGTGGAAAGGCTTCAGCAAGAGAGAGCAAAGAATAAGATTGCTAGGGGAACAACCTTGAAATGTTTCACGTGACAGAACATAGGGTGAGTCCAGAATGAGTCATGAAAGCTGTGAGGTGGAGAAAGCATGGATAGACTTTTACATCCATCCTGTTTGATGAGATAAATCATCTCTTAAGTGGGGAAATATCCGAGGAAGGGCCCCCTTCCTTATCCTCTTCAATTATACCACAGGGCTTTGGTCCTAATCCAAAGGAGTGACGGTTTCCAGTAGAGTCATTTGCTGCAAGCTCCTGCTTGAAAAAAAAAAAAAACATTAAGAAGATGAAGTTCATCACATGCCTTTCAAAAAGGCAACTGCACAGACTGCAATAATAATTTCAGATGCTTGCTATGCCTCCAGCATCTGCGTTTCACAACTATTCAGGACATACATTTATAGCTTCAGGCATTTCCCACTGGGTTAGGAAATTCACTACTTTATAAAAGCAAATAAATCTACCACATTTGATATATGTGATGCAAGGACAATGTGGTGAGCAAGGTTTTCATATCTCAGTCCATTATCCGTCTCTAAAACAACTTACAAAGGAATAAAATCACAGCAAGATTGACATGAGGCAGTCTCATCAGTTGGTTTCCAAGGCAGGTTGGGTCTCCCGGACATTCTAAGGCTGAGAGATTCAGGGGGAAAGGAGAAAGATGAGGGGTTTATTTGCTGACACCAAAAAGAGACACCTTTTATTTTCTCCCCTTTCTCAGTGGGGTAATATAGTGTGAATGGGAAGTATGTTGGAGAAAGGGAGAATAAACTCACAGGAACTTCCAAAGAAAACCACTGGGAACATTTTGATCAATATCTCTAAAAAGCTTATTGCTGCATTTTACATCCTTGTCTTTCCCCTCCCACTCTAGATCTCTCCTAACCAGACCCGTAGAAGACCATTCCTAATGTCACAACGCTTGAAGACATTTTTCTCAAACTGATGGAGAGAAGTTGGAAGTTGACAGGAAAGGGATAAATAAAAGAGAAAGAAATAATAAATAAATAAAAATAATTCCTTTTCCATTATTTACTTTTTTCTTTTACTCTCTTTGTTAAAGAGACTTTTTAAAAGAATTTCAACTCATTTGAAACTAGTACTTCACTCTTAAGTCAAACCATGTATAAAACCAGCTCAGGTATGAGACCACACCCAGCGGGCACCAAGCAACACTAGCAACACCACCATGAATGGATGACTGAGAAAACTTATTTTTCAGTTCTTTTTGTCCTCCGGCTGTGTCCCATGTGTCACACGAAGGATGTAGAAACCCAGCTGGGTTGTAGAAACAACTGGGATGCTTAAAACCCAACTGAAAAAGCCTATCTATAGAATTATGCATCAACAGAATATATTTTTATCTTCATTTGTTTCATTTTATTTTTAATTTTTAGAATTTTAATTGATCAAGATCCAATTCTTAGTTGAATTTTGTTTTATAATTATGTAAACTATTTACATGACTCCAGATGACTGGTTGTTGGCAGAATTTAGTTCTGTCCAGGAATTGAGATCCTACTTTCTTGCTGGCTGTCATTTGGGGGCCACTCTCAGCTCCAAGAGACCATCACCATTTCCTGCCATGTAGCCCTCTCCACAGCATGGAAGGTTGCTCCCTCAAGGCCAACAGAATAGCTTTGTTTTAAAAGGCATTATAAATACGTGCTTTTCCTCAAGATTTTTTAGAAGTCACCCTTTCTTTATAGTACTTGTGAGTTATATATTTATTCCATGTTTAATTTTAAAAAGGATTTGTAATAACCTAAAAAATCTGTAGTATAAAAAAAATAGGATGAGGAAATTGAGGCAAAAATAAAATAAATATAAAGGGAATAATGGTATATTTGCCAGGGATCTGCAGAGAAATGGAACCAATAGGGTGTGTATATAAGTAGAGATTTATTTCAAAGAATTGGCTCACATGATTATGCAAAATGGCAAGTCCAAAATCTGAGGTGTGGCCCCACAGGCTGAAGACAAATGTTGCAGTTCAAGTCCAAAGGCCGTCTGCTGGCAGAGTTCCCTCTGGCTTGGGGAAGATTAGTCTTTTTTCTATTCAGGTCTTCAACTGATTGACTGAGGCCCACCCACATTATGGAGGGCAATCTGCTTTATTCAAAGTTCACCAATTTAAATGTAAATCTCATTCAAAAACACTCTCACAGAAACATCTGGAATAATATTTGACCACATATCTGGGCATTGTGGCCCAGCCAAGTTGATATGTAAAATTAACCATTACAAATGGCCAAGGTTAAAGTTATAGCTCAAACTACATAATGTAAAATCTTATTTATATAGCTAGTCTACAATTATACTCTAAGTTTCCTTGCTAACAAAGCAGGGGATGAAACTGAAGTTCCCCCAGAAAAACCTTTTTCTAATAGGGAAACCTAAGGGAAATTTCCCCTACGTGTCCTCATAAAAAGGGGACAATGTGGTCCAGGGAGCAACATCCCAATCAGCTTCCCTAAGCAAATTCAATGGCATGGTTCCAACGCATAAATTCCATAAAAGTAATTTTATGAGCAAACAAAAAATGTGGTTTAATTCAGCATCATCTAGGAATGAAATTTAGAATATTTCCAGAAATACGTGGATTACAAATTCTTTCGTAAGTTCTCCATGAATATTATTACCCCAAACTATTTTTTTAATAAAAATTACATAGCAGGGAATTTTAAATTATGTTCTCCGGCTAGAACCTGAAGTTCATATGGCATGTGGGCACGTAGGCAATAGCTGATCGTTACACTTTTATGGGCCCGTAGGGAGACTGACATCCCCTTATTAAAATGAGGAGCCCAACCAAGACTGGGGCTTGAATAGACTCTCATCCAACTACTACATGGAGTTGATCCAAGGTAGCAACTCTGGACAGAGCCAACATTTTACTTAGTTCTGGGGCTGCTGCAAACACAGGTAAATGAGTAACGGAGGCCCAAAAGTTCTCCATCACAGACTATGGATACAAGTATTTTAATACAGAAAATGTTGTGAACAGGTGTTACAAATCACCAGAGCACCCATTTATAATGTCAGTAAAACATTTATATAATAATGACTATTACGTCCAGAATTTCAGCTATGTCCGCCTTCTAGTGACTATAGTGAATCCAGAAAACCTTGTTATACATAGATTTTTCTCTAGTGCTACTAAGAAGACAGGAAGTAAGAAAAATTGATCATTTAGAGTGGTCCAGGGTTGAAGATTGTCAAGGTACCATGACAGATTTACCATAAATTTCATGAATAGTAGGAAAGAAAAATGAAACCAAGAGAAGGATGTTAGATCTGGAGAACACAGCAGAGCCAAGAAATTGACAATCATAGAGAGAGTTGAAGAACAGGCAAGAAGGGAGTGAGAAAATTGGAACCATGAAATAAAGGGCCCTTGTGTTAAAGTAAGGAAATTCCAGCTTTCAATTTCATAAGAGACTCAGTTTCACTTAGTCAGAATTTCCAAGGTGTGGTAACAAATTAATTGCTGACATGAAATGAAGAGAAGTCTTTAGAGTAGAAAAGATTGGGAACTGTAAGCCTCGAATTGTGGAAGACTCAATGTCCATTAAACCAACTCGTACTCGATTATCTCAAAAGAACTTCAGCATTAGCTGAACTTCAACGATTTGCTAATATTTCCTGTTCACTGTGTAAGCTGCTTAGTTGAACAGATTGGTTGGAAAACAATAGGATGAAAATGAGTTAGTAATAATCCATTTTGTCAAGTTAATTGAACTCCGCATGTTAGAGACTTTCTCATCAGCACTGATGACTAATGATTGAAAAGGGAGAAGAAGAAAAGCTAGGTGAGGGAAAATGGGAACTTCAGCTTACAGTGTGGCCCAGTTGACTAGTTTTGAGACAATATTCACACACTGTTAGTAAATGGAAAAGACAAGTGGTGGAGAAAGCGGCTAAAATTTCACAGAAAATCACTTCCAACAGAAATATCATTTTAGATTGCTCATCTTCTAAATGAATGTTTTGCTCACAATCATCATTTTTAACAGAAAGTCTACTTTCCATTGTGGTTACTAATGCATCTGAGTACCTTGTACATTCTTCTCCAGTGTCTATAAAAGGTCGGTGGAGAAGTAAATCACTGTTTTAATACACTGTTGTGGGTTGAATTGTCTTCCCCAGGAATCCATATGTTGGGGCCCTGGCCCACAGTTCTTCAGAATGTCACTTTGTTTGGAGTTAGAGTTGTTACAGATGTAATTAGTTAAGATCAGGTCATCCTGGAGTAAGATGGGCCCCTAATACAATTCAACTGGTGTCCTTTTGAAAAGGGAAAATTTGGACAGAGACATGCATACAGGGAGAATGCCACGTGTACATGAAGGCAGAGATTGGGGTGATGTGTCTACAAGCCAAGGAATACCAAAGATTGCAACAAACCACGAGAAGATAGGAAAGAGACATGGAACATATTCTTCCTTACAGCCCTCAGAGGAGGGTGACTCTGCTGACACCTTGATCTTGGACTTCTAGCTTCCAGAACTATGAGGCAATAAATTTCCCTTGTTCAAGCCACCCAGTTTGTCGTATTTTGTTATGGAAGCCCTAGCAAACTAATACACACACTACTGGGTAACTATTTTAGATATAGGGTGGGTTAAAAATTCTGTTCATGAGGTTAATACCTATAAGTTAAATAAAATCCCTAAACTAAATCAAGTTTGACAGACAGAGGCAAGAGAAGGACACTTCTCTGTTTCTCATGGACACACGACAAGTGGAGAAAATTGCTAATGCAAGGAATGGCAGTCTTGTGTGCTTTTTCTTCAGCTCAGACTTCAAGTATCTTCATTTGCTAACTCTCCTGCATTTATTCCAAGATCAGCAAAGAGAGGTGGATTGTTGCCCTTGTTCAGAGACTTTGCGTTTCACCCAGCAAAGTATATGCTGTAAGTTTCCAATTAAAAGATTGCTACGGTACCGATAAGCTAAAATTCCTTTACCTCTGTGGTCCATCTCTTCACTGAGGTATTGCTGAAGGAACGAGAAGCTGTGCCACGGCAGGTTATGGAAGACAAGGGACTAACAAACATCGCTATCCCCATTTTATACATGGGAGAGCCCATGCTTAAAGACAAAGTATTCTACTCAATCTCTTACAGCTAATAAATAAAAGGCATAATCTAAATGCGGAAGACTGAAGAGAGAGTAGTTCATTCAAATTATGAATGGGCTTGTATTCTATGCTGAGTTGAGACTTTATCCTCAGTAATTTGAGGAGATAGTAAATGACTTTCCATGCGGAGGAAGGGTCTCATGATATTTGTATTTTAGATACTCTATTTACAGAGTAATGGGGAAGGTGATTGAAGGAGTTTAAGACTGGCAACCAGAGACCCCCATAATATCATTGCAGTAATCTCATGGTGAGTGGTATTGGCTGGACAAAGGTAGTGGCAGTGGAAAGGAAGGAAAAGTTGAGATACACATCTGTGAGGTGGAATGGGCTCTTGAGACATTGGCTGAAGAAGAGGGAAAATAATCTATGAAGAATACCAGGTTCCTGGCTTGGACAACTGTGTTTGATGTGGCGTTATCACCAAGTATGGAATGTAGAAGCTGAGGGTCAGTTTGGTGAGGATGTCTGAGAGGTCTGTGAAGCATTCTTCCAATAAGCCCTGGAACATACTGTGTGAAGCTATATTTTCATAATACAGTGGATGTGTATTGTGTCAAGTGGGCTGGACCTCCACTTCCCAGATTATCTTCTCCACGTGATTCTTATGAGTGTGGGCCACAAGAAGAATCTTACATAAGATTTTTAAGACAGAAGTGAAGCAGCAAGCAGACTTTTACTCTGCACAGGTTGGAGCTGGACATGAGATGCTGTAGCTATACACCCATGTTCTGTCTGCTGCTCATTTTGATGGCAGCATCCAGTGTTTGAGCATGCATAATCTCTTGCTCCTGCTCTAGCCCCTTCAGCATTGCGTCTCTGACTCTTGGGCCAGATGAATGATAAAGGGCACTGGCTTCTTCTACAAGACACCCCATTATCAAAGAAGGAGGTTTAGAGGCAGTAAGACACGAATACAAGTTCCAGTCTGTCTTCATGAGTCTACTCATCTCATAGGTTCCAGTTTGTCCTCATAGGTTCTAGCTCTGCCTTTCACATTACGGCTTGTCTATCCTTCCTTTCTCGAATGCCTGCTCTGATTACTTCAGGCTGCAGCACCAGATATAGAAGAATTCTCCCATATCCATTGAACCAGCTCCCAAAATTGCATAAGGTCAAATCTCTATAGAAAAATCCCTAGTGGTTCTGCTTCCCTGGTTAAGTCCTGATGGACATGACATGTGTAGGTTTTATAGATTGCCATCTTTCACAGCTTTGAATTCATAGGCCAAACCTCTAGACACTTTGGCCCCCAGGACAAAAGGTCAGAAGTTTTCAGGTCCCACCAGCCTAGAGCACCATTGTTCAGTTTTACCATTAAGCCAGTGACCCATCTCCTCAAGCTGAGAAACTATGTGTACAACGGATAGACAATTCAAAGCAAGAGTTGCCGAACATTCTCTATAAAGGACCAGATAGTAAATATTTTAGGATTTGTAGCTCATAACATCTTTACCACCACAACTCAGCTCCATTGCTGAGCAAAAGCAGCCTTAGACAACACATAAGTGAAAGAATATGGCTGTGTCTCAATAAAACTTTACTTACAAAAACAAAGTATTTGTTGGATTTGGTCCATGGGCCATGGTTTGCCAGCACCTGATTTAGACAAAATAATACAAGTTCTTTATCATAAAGGTGAACTTAGACAAGTCATCAACACATTTAACATTGAGAAAAAATTAAAGTCAGGGTCAGATGGCCTCCGATGTAATCACAGCTCTGCCACTCTCTGATGCTCCAGTTCCTCATTTTAAATGGAGACAAGAAGGTAAGTGCAGTATTGTAAAATATGTCCACAAATTCTTTGACATGCCTCCTTTCAAAAGGTGGCATCTAATTCTCTTTCTTCTGAATGTGGAATGGACATAGTGACTCATTCCAAGTGAATAGAATGTTGCAGAAGAGGCGTTTACATAATTTCCAAGGCTAAATTAGAAAAAGATGATTCAGCTTCAACACAGCTCTCTCTTGAGTTACACACTCTTAAAACCCAACCACCAAGCTATGAGGAAACCAAGCAGCCACACAAAAAGGTCACATGTAGGTGTTCTGACCATACTCCCAGCCAACAGCCAGCATCATCTGCCAGACATGCAAATGAGCAAGCCATCAGATGATTCTAGTCTCCAGCCTTTGGGCTGGTCCAGTTGATACCAAGTGAAACAGAAATATTTGTCTCCACAAACCCCACCTAAATTGCAGAAGCTTAAGCAAAATAAATGTTGTCCTTGTTTTAAGCTACTAAGTTTTTGGGTGATTTGTTATGTAGCAATAGATTCCTGGAATATAGGAATGCCCAGAAACTCCTCAGTTATTACCATAAGAGAACTTTGTAGGAATCTCCCAAACCTCTTGACCTGCTGACTTGGATCTTTGTACCATGCACAAGTATGTGTATTCAGTTGAACATTGAAGAGAGCTTCTCAATAATCCAAAAAGAGGACAGATAAGGCAACCAAGAATACTCTCAAAAGCCACGGAGAGGACTTAAGAGGCAGAACCCATGACCTTACCTGGCATTTGGCCAAAACTCTAGGGTTAACACTTCTAACTCTTTCAAAAGCAATGTCATGGGACTTCTGAGGACCAACCTAGATCAGGACTAGAGCTGGCCAAACCATCTTCATGTGAAATGGAACACCACTGCAAACTAAGGCCAGTGAATTTTGAACTAGAAAGTTTAGCCTTCAATTTCTTTTGGCCAGAGTGCTTTTCAACAGAAGTGTAAATCAAATAATAAAAGCTGGCTTCTAAAAGACCTGAATAGCTACAAGTCGGTTATAATTGGTTCACTTAAGGCTCATTCTCAAGTTCAAGATAATAAGATAGAGTCTGGGACTTGGGGAAACAGAATGTCTACACTTTTGATCTGAATATTTGGATAGAAGACCCCTATGTTTGTGGTAACTCTTTCACACGCATGGAGATAATACTGAGAGTGAAAGAAAAGAGAGAAAGCATAAACCTAGAAATGTGAGTTTGTAGTTTGATGCAATGAAGTGTGAATGCAGGTGTGAGAAGGAAGGATAATGGTTGCCTGAGAGAGTAGATGGGAGTGAATATAAACACTGAAATTAAAGGATAAGCTTTAAAGAGAATGGAATATGAGAAAATGCTTCAACTTTATTTTTTTGCAGCACCTTTTTCCTTTTCCAAAACTACATGCTCTGGTGACACTGACCTACTTACTCTTTCTCTAACTTACCATTCTGTCCCAAAATGTCGTAACTGTGCCACTGTAGGATCTTTTCCTGGAATGTCATCAGAGCATGTTTTGAAATGGGAACAACTTCGGTCATGCAGTCCTCGATTTGGAGGTCACATCTGCCTCTAGCTAACTGCGTAAACTTGAGCCTTTGCTATTTATGACCATTAATTTCAAGACCTGTAAAATGGGGATAAAATATCCACCCATGTAGTAGTTATGCGGTTCAAGTAAGACAATATTTATGAAACATTTACCACAATCTCATAGGATGACATCTAGAGCAAGTTCAGTAAAGGACAATTTCCCCAGAACCCCTAATTTCCTCCTCCGTGACGCCTACTTATGTTTTGCAATCCTGATGCAGTGTCCTCTCCTCTGTGCAGTCCTTGTCAAGGCCCCCAAGCAAAGCTTAGCTTCTTTCTCCAGGCTGTCACAGCATTTTAGCCACATTGGATTGGCTTAATATGATTATGGTCTGTCTATCTCACATAGATTTGGGACTGTATTAATTCCTTGTGTGTTTTGTACCTTCATGATGATAGTTTAGAGCTTTTTGTTTTGTAATAAAGGCATTTATAAACATGCCATTTATAAAAATTAGTATGTGCCATTTGAGAGAATTGAAATGTGGATTACTTAGCATTTAGAAATGTGTCAGTTTGCCTTACAGAGGCCATCTCTCCCCACTCCATCTGGCTCCCACTTGCCCAACTGTCACCATTATTGGATTTGTGGAGGCACTCTGATCTTCCTTATGACCTTGCTTCTCATGTTTTCTCAAGTCAGATCTTTTTTTATGTAAACCTATAACCTTATTAACGAAATACAACCAATGGATGCTATAAAGTACTCTTGAAATGTGTAAATCAACACATTATATATTGTCCAAAGGGGTGATACTAATTGCAAAGGACGGAAAAACCATGGTTTGTTCAACTTTACTTTTAGAAATGCATTTTTCTCCCAGGTAAAGTGTTATGTTCAAGAAGAGATTAAACTCTGATCCCTTACCTCAATCTACATGTTCTCAAACTATTAAATTTCTAGAACTAATAATTATAATACAGCTAACAACCATTGAGTATTTAATATGGCACAAGCACCAAACTAAGAACCTTTTATATGTCATCTCATTTTTATTGCTGTGACAAACTTAAGAGAGAGAGATTATCATTATGTCACTTTCACTAATAGTAACTAACAATTAGACAATTTAACTAACATTAGACTAATTTGAATTTTATCAGGGTGGTTTGAATACATCTACGTGTTGGCAGAATTAGCCACCACCTGGAGCTTATGATATTTGCATTATTACCTCTTCTAGTATTTGGGTAAGCATGTCAAAGACCTATGCTAAAACTTTACTGGCCATCAGTAAAGTGAATTTGGTTATCTGATTGTCTTCTCTCATCATAGAATTCATATGAATGGGAAAACAGATAAATACATTTCATTAGAAAATTGAAAGGAGAGAAAGAAAGTCAGGAAAAGTTCAGGAATGGATGGTTCTTACTACAAGCACTAAAGTGGAGGGAGCTAGGCAGACACAGGGCTACATGAGTACACACAACTTTGTGAGCAGATGACACATTAAAGAAAAACTGAGACCATCCTGGTAGTCATACTTACTGCATTTACCAAAACTGCAGACATCTAAGATCTACAACAAGCTAGAGTTGCCCTTACTCCGCTGACTTTGATGTAATAAGCAGAAAACTGATCTGAGGTAGCCTTTCCAAATTACTTATATTTACTATAAGACTATTCCAACATATCAAAAATTCTTCAAAATAAAATAATTTAATCTTTGTAGACCAAATATTCTCATCGATACACATCTCACCCCAGCACATATATTCCTTTAGGGTACAGATAAAGACATCTAGGTAGGTGCCTGATATGGTCCACTAGTCTCTGAAGGGAAGAATTGGAGTCACTTTTGCAATCCATCAAACATAATTGATTCTTTCTCCTTGGCACCTTCCTGGGCCATTATCATGGATTCTATCCAATAGGAAATATTTCATTAGAGCAAACTCCAAAAACTTGACGTTACAGAGAGAGGACAGCAGAGAGAGACCATACTGTGCTGCAGAGGAAGCAATCACATGGAGAAATGGAAGGTAAAATTCTCATACTCCCATTCCATGACTATTTCCTTGGGAATTTTGCTTTCATACCCTTGATAAGATTGCCTGTATGCAAATTATAAAACACCAATATGCTGTTACCGGATATGATTAGTACATCAGTTGGTTTGACGACTCCATTAAAACTGGCCGTAGGTTTTATAGCTATGCAAATTAAGCATCTCTAATATATTGATGGTGTTAAGTTTAGTGGTGTTGATTAGTTCTGTGGCAAGAACTAGACTTAGAATCAGAATTCACATATTCAAACACCATATAATTTTGCCATGAGGCACTATGATGTAGCAAAAGATATCCTGTTTGAGACCAAACAGTCCTAAATTCAAATATAGCCTCTGATATCTACAAGATACACCAAAATAATTAACCTCTTTTCACCTTATTTTCCACACATTTAAACTGAGTAAAAATAAATAAATAAATAGATAAATAAATAAATAAACTAAGAGTAGTAATATTTTCCCTGCAATACTATTTTGAGAATTAGAGATAAATGCTGTAAAATGCATGATGTACATGGTGGGCACAATAAAAAATTCTTAATATTATTAAAATAGGAAAAATATAATAGAGATGTTGGGTTTGGAACGATTAACAAAATTTATAAACCCCTAAAAAGACTAATCTTTTAAAAGGAAGAGAGGAAGGGAGGGAGACGGGGGAGGAAGAAAACATCAACAATCAATTGGCAATATTAGAAATGAATGTAGAGACACTACAGATCCTACACACATGAAAAGGTTAATAAGGAGATATTTTGAACAGCTTTATGTTCAAAATAATTCAATAAAATCTACAACTGAGAGAACACAGACAAATTCCTTGAAAAACACAATCTCCCAAAATTGATAGAAAAAGCAAGAGAAAATTTAAATAGCACTAAAGTAGTTGAAGTCATCATTTAAAACCATCCCACAAAGCCACAAAGCTTCAGATCAAGATGGCTTCACTGATGAATCCTATGAAACATTTATTATCAGTCTTGAATAAACTCTTTTAGGATATAAAGGATGAGGGAATCCTAACTGATGTTATGAGGCCAACATAACCCTAATACCAAAACCTAATGAGGACATTACAAGAAAAGAAATTACAGAACAATTTCTCTCATAAACATAGATGCAGATATTCTTAACAAAATGTTAGTAACCTCAACCAGCAATAAAGGGATAATATATCATAACCAAGCATTCAAGATTGACTTTACATTTGTAATTCAGTCAATGTAATTGATTAACAGAATAGAGGAGAAAAATCATATGAATATCTCAATACATGCAAAAAAAGTTCTTGACAGAATTCAATGTCAATTGGTGATAAAAAAAAATATCTCTTGGCAAACTAGAACTACAAGGGAGCTAACTCAGTCTTAGACATTCCAGAAAAAATCTACAGTTAACATAGTACTTAATGGTAACATATTGAACACTTTTACAAGATCAAGTATGTCAATTTTTCCACTTTTATTTAATGTCATTCCAGAGGTCCTAACCAAGGAAATAAGGCTGTAAAAAGGCAGTGAGGTCATAAATATTGTAAAGAAGGAAATAAAAATATATCCAGAGACTATGTAATTGTATACAGAGCAAATCTTAAGGTATATTTTGATAGTCAAAAAATCCCTTATGTCAAATTAATTCTAAGCTAAGGAGCAAGGAAAATTCCATTTATTGTCAGTATACTTTGTCAGTTACCATATCCATCAGAAAATTATAGGTTGTATTTGACCATTACCTCCACATAGAAGAAGAACATCAATTCCAGAACA